TTAAGAAAAGCTATACTTACCCTGTGTTTGTACCCATTGTTTGTATCTAGTGGAAAAATAATACATTTATGTAGTTTGATTTGCTTGTTTCAGGGGCATGAATTGGTCAGAACGCCGCCCTCCATTGAGTGGATTCAACCATCTACTAATAACCAATGATGCTAAACACACAATAGCCAATACAGCAGGTAAAAGTGTGACATTTTTGTGTCCTTGTTACATGTACATCTGACCTTTGTTATTTGACATGAAATATCACCAGAATTGATTTCAAACTATTACTATTTGTTTGGCAGGTAATTTGCATTAATTTGTCACTCTTGGAAATTAGAAAGTGTGTTCTAAACTTATAAAATCATGTCAGATTTGACAGAGACACCAACAACAAATGGACCCGTAATTTCTGGAATTACCCACCAAGAAGGTCAGAGGGATAATTACCAATGGTTAGCCACCAAAGATGTTTGCATTGTCATGGGCACAATGCTTGAACAAGTTGGAGCTTTTTTTTTCCCACCGAGCAACGATTCCCATAGGGCAACATCATAGGATTTTTTTCCACAGAGAAAAACTCAATCATCCTGTTTGATAATTCTCCTGGTGAGGCATGTCAGAATTGTGGAGTTTGCACAGAAAACCTTGTCTCCAAACTTTGTATTCTGCATGGAAATCACTTACCTTCTCCTCCTTTATTTCTGTCCTAGGATCGATGCTTACTTCAGTTCCGAGAAGCGAGTCATCAGACAGTATCCGCTCAGCCCACAGCAGTCCTGACAGTGACTTTGATGAGCCCTGGCTATCTCAGGTTTGAATCAAGACATGGCTCACAGACTTGAGTCCAAGGTTTCAGCGATGCATTACAATCAGAAAGTTGTACTTAGTTGTTGCACTCAGTTGTCATATTTTCATCTGAATGTATACAAAAACTCACAGGGCGTTGCTTGGGCAGAAGGTGAATATCAGCAATGGCTTTTATGGGTCTCTGTTTCCAGTAAAGGGACACTCGTGCCCAGGCCCATAAATAGTGCTCAGAAATCCTACACTTTCACGCATCCTCGTGGCTTTTAAATCTACTTGCATTTTGTACATCACTTTAAAGCTGATGGTAGATTCCATTCTTGTGATTGAATTTATAGATGATGTTGACTTTGAATTTAGGTGGAGATGGTGACCCATGCTGGTCCTCATAGACGCCTCTGGATGGGACCCCAGTTCAAGTTCAAGACGGTTCCCCAACCCAGCAGTACCACGGTGTTGTCCTCCACGTCATCTGCGTTACTGTCGGATGGACTGGAGACCAACCGGACAGCCATGGAAATGACACAAGATGACTTGGATCTCAAACCCTTGAGGTAGGAGGGAAATGGTCATGTGACCCTGTTTACTCCAGGGCCAAGGTTTTTACTCTGGGGTCGTTAGAACAGAAACGTTCTGAGGACTGGAAAAAAAATGCTCAATTATTGAAATGCTGTGCATAGCCTAGGAATAATGTCTGTATCCACAGTCCAGTTTGTTCAGGAGCATTCTGACTTCTGAGATGCTCTGTTATTTAACAGAAGACTGTTGGGTTCATAGTTTTGCATTCCTTCAGGTACCAGTATGCTATGTATTTCCTTTTAGATTCATTGAGCATTTTTTGAAGTACATATTTAACCAGAGTTGAAGTCCATTGCCAATTGAGAGTGCTCCTTTGTTTTCCTGTCTTGACGCTTTCTTGACAGGATTCAACCACTGAGGTCAGACCCTGTCCCGACCCCCCAGCTGAGGTCCTCTGAGGGGTCATCTCAAGCCCTGGCATCCAGCCAAGAAGCATCTTCATTGCCGACATGTATAGAGTACGGCTCAGGTACGTGAATCCAGAGATTTCTGACTTACCACGCCATGTTTGGTTCTTTGGTTCCAACCTGACATCTGTCCTCAGTTGACAGTGTGTTGGTCGTCTGTATGTCATCTCTAGGCAGTTCTTTCTATCACCAGCTTGTTTTCATCATCTTGAACTGAGTTTTAGATCCACAGACTGTCTCATTTGTGGGCATTCTTTCTAGTCAGACCTACTCATATGATGAAATCATCCGATCTGTTTCACGTTTTCCATTCTCCACATACACCACAAATGGTTAGGCTTTACAACTAAAGCACATTCCGTATACATCCACATGGCGCTGGATGTTCCTTGATGTATTGACAATGTGGAACAAAGTGCCTGGGTTGTCCCACATACACAACTGCCAGATTTCATCTCCCTCTAACAGTTAAAAATTTATCTGCCAGGTTCCCAAATAGCTCTCATTTTGGAGGGCTGGATTCGTAAAAGTTTAAAGAAGCCATTAGCAACAAAGTCTTTTTGACTTATTCTTATAGTTGCCTGGAAAGTTAATGGCATTCTCTAGGCAATAAGCCTTTTGAGACTTAAATTTGAATGAAATCTGGTATCCTGTGCTATGTAATTGCACATAAACATAACAATTTGATTTCCCCAGACTAAAGACACTGTTGCTATACATCGTGATTTGGGGCAAGCTTTTGCATAGCGACCACCATCTCTGGAATAGACTGGTTCCTTTGTGCCCTTCTTATCCATTGAGAACAGTGTATTGCTGCAAGGTGTCTCTTATGTAACTTAGCAAAAGCTTGCCCCAAATCAATACCCCAAAGGTATAGCAACAGTGTCTTTAGTATGGAGAATTCAAATTATGTTTATGTGAGTACAAACAACTCAGTGTACCAGATTTATTCAAATGTTACTCACAAAAGGTTTAATTTACATATGTAGCATAGCTGTCATTAATATTCAGCAGAATTCATGAATAGTATATTTGGTCACACAATGTCACAAAGCATCAGTAATGCAGAAGTAACTCTTTGGTTTTCCAGTGGGCATGAAGCATACCATAGTAGTTCATCTTTTCTTCTGTAAGCGTCTTATGAAGTCTCATTTTCCACAGAAAAAAATAGTGGAGGTAACTTGGGTCGCTGCAAAGCATATAATTTGCCCAATTCTAATGTAAATGGCAGGAATATTTCTTTCTGCAAGTATAATAACCTTTTCCCACGATGCCTTGCTGAAACACCTCTCCATGGCAACCTCTTGCCGGCATTGTATTCTGAATCACTCACACCGTCTTACTGAAAACATGAGGTATTTGCTGGGTTCAGCTTTGACATCACAAGGTCGTGTAGTAAAAAGCGTTAAAGAGTTTGTTGCAACTGATGATGTTAAAACCAACGCCTAACGTATCACCAACCGATACTGTGTCACAAATTGACCGATAGTGTTGTAAAATTTATATCCAATAATGCACCGGTAACACCTGTTAACGGTTAATGTAAATTCAAAACACCTCCATCCAATAATTTATCACCTGGCAACGGTTACTGTTAATGGTTAATGAAATCAAAACTTGCCGAATAACAGATAAGTATGGGGAAAGGTATGTTAAAGTATAAATTGTGTCGCCCAAGTAAGGTTTTTGGAGACACTAACTAGTCCTAATTAAATTCTGTATGACGTGTTACCTAATGACCGCATGGGTGCACCATCAGTGTAATAACATTTATAGACAAAACTGTGTAACTTTGTATGGAGAAATGATGCACATCTGCTCAGCAACCCACTAATCACCTCGTTTAACAGGGGATTCCTGTGGTGATTACACTCACAGACACAAAACTTTCAGCGACGTTGAAATGTATTTTCTAAAACCCTTCGCTCAATATTTTATTTTGAACATATGAAAAGGGGGTAATCATATACATGTACATGTCGCCACTACATTCTAAGTACGATGGGTAGGGAGGTTGGCCGCCACCGGTCAGTGCTGGAATAAATTGTTCATATTAATTTCTTGCTGGCAAATTTCATTATCATTCTAAGAAGTTACCGCCATCATTTAGAATTTAATTTTGAGGGAGGAAAATCAGGTGTCAATTAGTGATACATTATCGGTTGGGGGTACATTAGGCATTGGTTTAATGGTATCACTTGTAACGGAGCTTAGTGGTGAAACACAAAGGGAGATTTGGTCTGTTGATGGAATAACCTGCCTGCTTGCTTGTCTGTCTGTCTTTTACCCTCGACCTCTTTTCCTCACCTTACCTGGTTTTTGAGAGTGGCAGAGTCACTGCACGATCTTCTCACCCTACTTTTTGGAGTCTGTTCTGAGAGCAGCGACCCATTTTTCACCTGTACCCGCCAAACAACTTGTGTTTGCAGATGCGAATAAGGCTAGCCAAAGGGTCAAAACAAAGAGTCTTGACGGTGGGGCAGCAAAGCCAGACACGATGATAGACCCAGAGACAGACAGGCAGGCGCAGACCAAGGGCAGGCGCAAGAAAAAGAAGAAAGGGAAGATTGGGGTGAAGGAGAGAGAAACGGCGGAGGTGCTGTGGACAAAGGCTGAGTGTGACCCTCAGGAGACTATAGAGACATTAAATAGCCCAGACAAACAGGAGTTAAGCAGGGTAGAGAGCAAAGGTAGGAGGGTAGATTGACCTCAGAAAAAGTAGTTCCCGAATGCTTGCTGAGTTTTACTGTTGGGGGTTTCAATGCATTACTCATGCGAGATGGTAGTTCTGAATCATTAACGTTTCATCAGTTAGCCTAGTGGAATAGAACATAGCTCTTCATAGTTGTTGTTTTTGTTGGAATTTGATTGACTGGAATTGGACTGGACTGATTGTGGTGCAGACTAAAAGTTCTGTTCTCTTCTACTTCTGAAAATTTGAGGTTGTAGGGTCTGAATTATGCCAACTTCAGAAAAATAAACAAAAATCCTGAAGTTGTTGTCTTTCAGAAATAAAACACATTTCATTTTTCAGCTGGAGGTACTGTACATAATTATTGTAGTTATATAAACTGTCTAGAGTCCATGCTGTTTCAGAGCTTATGGCAGAAAATCCACACATTTCCTCATCGAACTCAATCCTGCGCAAGTTGTTATTGAGAGCTGTCATGATACTTAGAGAATCTATCAGTCTTCCTCAGGAATGGGTTATTGTCTGATGGGTTTTACCTTGTAGGATTACCTTTCACTGTTTTAACCTTTTTAACATTCTTTGAATCTTTGTATTCGATGGCTTAAGTCTCATAAATTTAAATTGGTCTACACCTGCCCATACTGTTGTGGTAGCAGTGGTTACACATTTGAATTGGCATGCAGAGGACACTGTAGGTCAAATTCCCAAGTTTCTGAAACAAAAATGCCCATTTTGTACATCTGCACTAATGAATCCAACTCCAACGTCCAATCCAACGTCCACTGCTGGCCAGTTTCTCTACAGGCCAGCCCCTTTCTGGCCGGTAGCTTTTAATCCCCCTTCAACCGGCCGGGCTACCAGCCGAACCTGTGCTTAAGGGCCCTACTGCCTGGAGATTCTTTGTGTTTCTGCTGTCTAGTAGGAGTCAACTGCTGATGTCAACACAATGGGGTTTCTTTAATCGGTTAAATCCTACCCAGTGACCTATCTGGGACAAAGGCCTGGCATCTACTTCAGGGGAGTGTTACAGCTGAGTGGTCTTCCAGAAATTTTCTTGATTTGAGCTGCTTTTTATTTACTGTGCTTGATCAAGAAATATTTCAATAGGCATTTGACTTTAATCTTCAACAGATTTCAAAATTTACTTTTAAGATTAGAGCTGCTGAAATTCCAAATATTATATCAGCTCATAGTCAAAAAGAAAACACCACACAGTCAAATTTAATTGAAATATCACATGTACTGTTTTATTCCTTTAAACACCACCTTCCCCCCAAAATCAGAAAAGACAAGAGAAATCAAACAAGTTTTGAAGATATTCAAAGTACATGCAGTCACTTCATAGATTCCTCGCGTCATCATTGACAGTTCTATCCCTATACTCCTGTCAGATTTTTTGGCAATGTTCATTTACAGCCAGTACAGTTCTACATTTGGTCTCAGTGTACCAGTCTTTGAAGTCGGGAAACTGCATTCTTGCAGTAATGTTGCCTAAACTAAAAAAGTTTTCTCATAAGAACCTTAAACTTTCATAAAATCGACAGATCAAGACCTTGAACCAGGAGAGTCATGAATTATTATGAAACCGGTGCATGTACTTTGACCAGTTCCTTCATGCTTTCATTCAAGGTCTCTGTACGACAAAGATACATGTACCACTCCAAGCAAGAAATTTAGCTTGTTAATGCAATTGACACTAATCCGCTTAAATCCTCCTTATTCATCAGTGAAGGGCCTGGGAGGTTAGCCCTCAATTCAGTGACTTTGAAATGCAGTCGAGCCAGACCGGCCCGTACAGGCCGAGAAAGGCAGTAATACAGGCCGAGGATCATACCGGCCACAAAACGGGCATGCAGTCTCGGCCTGTAGAGATACCGGCTGGCAGTGGACACCACACCTTACTGGGCCCATGTGATGAAATTTCCTTAGACCAACATTTTGTGCATTTTTATATTTTATTCAGTGTATGAAGACAATTTGTCTACGACATCCTTTTGAATAAAGAGGCCTAAAGTAGCTTTTTAATAGCAAAATAAGATTAAAAGTAATTGAAATACACAGGTGCATTTTCAAGAGTTCTAGTAAAATAACTGCATTGCATGGACTTAAAGTCTTCACTGATAAAGATTAGAATTTTTAGCGCTACGACAGGGATTTCACTTCCACTCATTTTATCCAGCATCGTGCCCTCACCAGACAGTAAAGTCCAAGTATCCAATATTGTTGCCAGTCAGATGAATTTTGGAGAAGTTGTATGAAGAGATCAGTTAAGCTGCCCAGCCCCCCCCCTTGTTTTTCCTCCTGAATAAATTGAATCACAGACTACGACTACAGAACTAAAAATTGCTGCACAGTTCAGAGCCCTTAATCATCAAGGAATTATTGCTGTAAATGCTGCTAAAATGGGTCCAAATGTATACATCACTTTGCATTGGTGTTTTTCCATTGTCGCAATTTTGTTTTAACCTGTGGAAAAAACAGCCTGACATTTCAATAATAATGACAAGTGGAAATCACATTCTCCTGTGCCTACAAGAGTTGATTTGCCCTTTTGTGCAATGTATTTTGACCTTTCGTGTCTTTCAAATAAAGTGAGTGCATGCTGGATTTTCTGAGAATGAGAATTCATACATTTTTTTTAAGAGATACAAAATTCCATGTTTTCATTTCATTTGCCGAACCAAACCAAAATGAACAAGTGTTTGCAGTGGTTTGATTCTAATTGTTTTGGTGGTGCTTTTTGACTGTTTGTTAGTTCTGTTGAATGATTCAAATTGCCTTACATTTTGACATCCAGACTTGGTAACTAGCCACAGTCGTGTAAGAATTTTCTTTTGCAGTTAAAATTCTAAAGGTACAAAAATGGTCAAACTAAGAAAACCTATGAATGAATCTCTATTGTAAAACTTTAATTGCATTTGTGACATTCTCTTTTTTTGATGGGAGATCTCACAAAACCTGTATTTGAGCTTTGGAGTCAGTTGTGCGACGTCAAGTTTCAAAGCAAGTTTGACAAAAATACTCCAACCATTTTGTTAACACTGTTGCTGGTCTCCTGCTACTTGTGAACTGATTGCAACTTTAATTGGATTTGACTTGTAATGAGTGGTTTAAGTGTGTGATATGTGCACATGTTTTTGATAACTTTTGACCTAGCAATTGAGTACCTGTTTTTAAAGGTCTTTTCCATCTCCTCAGGACTCTGTCAAATGTCTAATGTCATGCGGGATCATTTTAACATAAAGAGTTTTAAGCAATGGGTCTTTCTGTTGCTTTTTTTTAGGAGCATTTGATCAGACGGTTAATTTGCTAGAGGTCAGTTGTGGTAGTTGGCCCGAGAACAGCTACCAGCGAAGTTCAGAGGTTGTGGAAGAGAGACTAAGGCAAACCATTGCTGATGCGATGGCGGAATCGCCCCTGATGAGCCACACTCAACCAAGCAGACACAAAGGTTGGTTTGATGAAAGAGTTGTCATTTGTGAAGAGATCAGTTGCCTGTTCAATTGTACAAGAACAACACTGTGTTTTTTTCAGCACGTTCTGGTTTGGTCAATTCAAGTTCTTGTGGATAAGTCTGTATGTTGTGGGGTTTTAAATCAGCCCATAATGGTGCAGTGCATGTGTCCATTAGCAAGACACATTATCACAATTTGCTTCAACCCACCCAGGAGTGTGTCAGTGAGTTGGTTGTGCCAAAATGACAATTTGTAGCAGAGGTAGTCTCAGGAATGCTTTAACCTGATCCATTAGAGTGTGTGGGAAAGTCTATTGAAATTATAGGATGTTGAACATTGGGGATTGTGGTAAGGTAACCCAGGCACCAGCAGTGGTAGATACTTTGATTGCTTCCAGAGCTACGGCTAGGTCTATTGTCTGGACGTCTCCACGTACTTTCAATGGAGTGAAGACCTAGACGTAGCTCTAGACAACAGATTCGAATGCAGGCAAAATTTCAAACTTATCCAGGAACCTATTAAGGCACCATACAGTATTATTAGTCCTGCTGACTAGTCCCATACATAAACATTTCTCTCTGGGTCCCTGGTGCAGACATCAAACACAACAGCCATCTCTGCCCTTGTAGGCACCCATTTATACTCCTGGGTGAAGAGATGCATGGGTCAAATGACTTGCCTAACGTCACAACATGTAACCAGCAGCTAGATTCGAACCCTAGACCCTATATTTGGGAGTTACAGACCCTAACCACTGGGCCACACAGCTTCTGTTTCATAGATTCATTTAATTGTTCTCTAACAGAGAGGGAGGTTTTACTTGACCACCCCGACCAGCTTAGTTCCAGCGCAGGATCCGCAGATAGTGCTGTCCACTCCTATGAGGCACGTGGTTCCCCGGCTCACAGCATGGATCACATACTGGTATTCCCCCCAGCCAGTGGGTCACCAGACTCCAACTGAACTCCCCCCCCCACACACATGTGCATCACATCTCTTCTTACTGTTGCACATCACTGCCATTTCATTGCTATTGGCCTTCCTAAAGTCTCTTTCCTAGTAATGTACAGTTCATGCGACAGGATCGCACTGCTGTAACTTGTAAGTGTGGTCTCTTGATCTTGTTAATTGCAGCATATAACTTGTGGCAGTGGTCTCTATGTAATTAGAAAAACACCTGCTTTACGAGTTAGACTGTATTCCGTTAACAACTTGCCCATATGTATCATTTCAATTGTCTTAAGAGCCTGCCAGCAGGTGATACCCAGCAAACAGGTCACTCGTCTGTCCAGCCATGCTTGGACCACTTTCGTTGCCATGTAAAAAGAGAGAAAAGATATGGTGTACTAAAAGCAGGACCTATGTCCATGGAACGTCCACCAGAAAATTCGCTTTAATAGTGACGTACTAAATACATGTGTGATGGGAACCGGTTGAGAGCAGTATAAATCCTAAGACACATTGATAGGTAACGTTGTCTTCGCTAAAGCAAACTCATCCCCTTCTGTGTCCAGTGATATGAAGATGTAAAATCTGTTGAGTTGGAAACCTTTTCTTTTAACCGGGGACTAATGGGATTTATTAGTGAGATGTTCATATTCAATCACGTTCCCTGAATCCACTTTACTGACTGAACACTCCAAAACAGAAAGGAGCCTGACTATTCTGCTATATTTCCAAGTATAGCTCCACTCTGAATTTTTTTTTTTCCATGTGGAAAATAAAGGTGACATGATTTTTTTTCCCATAATTCATTAATACCTCAGACAGTCTCTATTTCAACAACGTGCAACTTGACCGTGTATTACCGTTTGATAATGCCCGCTGAGAAGTGATAATGCCCGCTGTATAAATCACGCACTGTCACCTGGATACAAGACAGTTTAATTGATTCTGATTGGTCAAGAGTCTGTGTGCATGCAGCTCACCACGCATGTGTTGATTGGACGATTTGCATAAGGAATGTACCATAAAATGGATGAAGGTGTTCAGGAAAATGGAAGTAAAATTCTAGTGCAAAATTCTGGAAATGCATCATATATTGACTTCTTCTGACTCTGACTAAAATGGTATTTATGAATGGGTATAAATGTGTGCTATTAACATGCTAACGTTTAAGAACTTGCTCAGGAGAATGAACGCTGATAATACCCTCGCCTGTGGCTCGGCATTAGTCGTGTCCGTTCTCCTGAGCAGGTCTTAAATGCCCACATTTATTCCCTTATTTGGAATTACCCACGAGAGCACAAAGGTGGTAATCTGTATTTGGACTCGCCGCATTATCTTCATTCTTACACATAGTAAGTTTGTAGTCATTTTGAAATGCAATATGCACATGTGCTCACATGTGGCAAGGTTTTCTGTCAGAATGTCAGAGGCCACTTAACACAAAGTTATTTTTTCATATCATATCCAAAAGGCTGTACAATCATTTGGCTAGTCCAAGCCCCAAAAGTTTCTGTCATAATGTGACATGTTTAAGTAAAAAAATGGTCATTTTTTAGATGCAGCTGTTGTATTTCAAGCAATATGTTTCTACCTGGCTTTTGTTTGTTTGTTGGGTTGTTGGGGTGTTTGTTTGTTTGTTTGTTTTACCTTAAAGAAGAGAAAGAAATGAGACAACGGGAATCTAAATGTAGAAAGAAACTGATGTGCAGTAGAACCTTACCAAGTTTGCATTGGGCCTATTGAGGACGTTCCCCATAAACTGTGATAGATGTTCACGTGGATTTTTACACGTGTTTTTACTGATTTCATCTCACATAGAGATTTAATTGACTTCAATTGACACTGTGTTTCTCAATTCATCACGACAGTATTGTTCTGGTATATCTAATTGTTGCGCTTTTTGTCTAATTTGCATGTGGTTAATTTGCATGTGGTTTTTCCAAAAGATTCATCTTAGAACATTTCATGATATGCAAGCTATTTTCTACAATGTGCAGTTTTTGAAAAATGGTCTTGTGTATAACAAGTTCAAATGTACATAGGGCTCACCATTACTTAAAAAAAAACAACTAGTTGACATGTGTGCTCAGTTTTGTCCGTTCTGGATTCTTGTGCTCTTGGGGGAAATCTAGAAGGTTGCCAGGAATGTTTGGATTGTATAAACTTGCCTGCAGTCATAACTCAAAAAGCAAGCTGTGCAATATTCACACCATAAGTGCAGTGGTTCTGTATAGTTGCATCACTTGCTACGGAAAGTATTTACACGTACCAAAGATTCCAGTAGTGCTTACGGGAAGGAGATAAAGCTCTTTCCCAGAGAGGAAAAGTGCTTACTGGCAGCTAAATGACAAGCCATTCAAATTCATTGTTTATTTTTGATCTGCTTTCCTCCTACCTTTTGTGTTTCTTTCCCTTCTTGTTTTCTTTTTTTGGGGGGTTAAGTTTTTTTCCGGGGGGGGAGGCCACTTGACCCCCCATTATGATGTCCATGTGAAATGTCCAGTCATGAGTTTACACTGGTTGCCATTTGCCAAGTTTGTGGCATTGCTTACGTCCTTAACAAGCATTTGCAAGTGTCATGGGTCCTACAAGCATCCACAGAACCACGTACAAAGCTTGGGAGACTTCCAACGCACAAATGTATCTGTAACTTAGTTGGTATGGTGTACTGGAGGTCTTCGGATCATCTCCATAACAGTAATGTTTTCCTCATAAAGCCAAATATAAATAAATTAATTGATTAATAAAGAAGAATAATTTGAATACTGTTGGCATTTTGCGACAGCAGAAATGTGTCAACCTTTCAACAAAAGGTTAAAAATGTTGGTATATCTGGGTCATTCCCTTGAACAAATGATGAAAATTTGTTTTTTTAAGCATTTTTAAACACTCTTTTTAAAAAAAATTGTGAATGGGGTTTAACATTGTTACGTTCATTAATGTTAGGCCGTAGTGCCATAGTTCTGAGGTTAGTGGAATGGTTTCAAAGAGAGTCTGTTGTAGACCGGGGGGGGGGGGGACACTGTGAAAGAGTTGGATTGCAAAGGCATATTGTAGAATAACAGGAATTAAATTTGGGTGATTTTTATTTTCATGAAATCTACATTTAAAAACCTTAGAGAACCAAGTAAACTTAACACTCAGTCCCCCTCACTCCCTGCATGCAAAAGGACAAACTACTAGTTGCAAATTCTCACAAAGAGGCAGTTGCTAGGCGTCAGGTTTTGGTTTTAGTTTTTTTTTATTTGAAATTTCAACTTAAGGGAGAGTTTTGCATTTTATCCTTGAAAAAAATTACTGAGGAAAAACTGTTACTTATTTTGTTTCAATTTCCAGTTTTCTGTTCAGTTTGGTTATTTATGCACGAAGGTAAGGGTTGAAAAAAGAGATTCACTAAAAAACAAAACCATTCCTTTTCCACATCAGGTTGCTGGTTTGTAATAATGGCAGGTATGGAGTTGATTTTTTTTCTTTGAGCGGATGATGTTTAGTGTGTTTTCACGTACTGTGAACTACGAAGTGCCGTGTATATGTATGTATCATTATTTATCACAAACTGTTTGTACTAATTACAAGATTTACAAGAACGCAAAACCAAAAGTTTGCATTTTTAAGTTTTCTGTGTTCGCATTTCAAGTTTAATTGTAAGTTTGCAGGGTAAAATGTGCATGTGGATGTGCATGCAAAGTTGGGCAGTTGTGCTGAGAACCACTGATGCTTGATTCATAGTTCATTTTCGGTTTGCATGTCTTACGTATGAATTCCTTCAATTTGGGATCTATTTTCCGACATTTTGCCGCTGAGATGAGCAGGGCTACGTTTAGTTTACTTTCTCTTCCTGTGTAGGCTATCTGCTTTTCATAGTCAGTTCAGATGTTTGAATACACTACACATTGACAAACCACAAAGTAGCACGTTCAGTTGATGTTTTCAGTTGTTCATTTAACAAACCTTAAGTATCGTGGTTACTGCTTCTTAAAAGCGTATGTTGGAAGAAGTATGAGGCATGAAGAAGTTGCTCAGGTTGGCATTTAAAAATGTTCGAGATTTCTGGTATAGCTGTATCTCTAATTTTCAGTTACACTGTAAATAGTTGTATAATAAATCCAATGATTTTCAATGTAATACATTTCAATTTAATATATGATTTATGTTGTACAGAGAACAAGCCTTTGGACATGAGAACAGAAGAATGTGGAGGACGAGATTTTTTTGGCATTTGCCTTTCAACTATTAAATAAACAGGCAGCGGAAATAGCTAAAGATGACGTCAAAGCGAAACATTGTGTTAAATATGTATCATTTCTGTTGTCTGGAACAACATTGTAATATGTATTTGATCACATTTCACGGATTTCATTCCAAGAATGCAGTTGTAAAAGGACTCCTGAAACTTTCTTTTATAAATGCAATCTATTGAAAACATCAGTCACTTAGTTTTTCAGTCTCTTAAATCAGATATGAAATCAAAATCATGAACTAAATTGACAGCTGAAATTTGATAAGCTTGGAGGCAAGCAGTACAATCTGCAATGAGCGTTGGTTGTACAATTCTTAAATAGCTGTTCTAGTTTCTTTTGAGCTTAAATTTTGCTAATCGTAGAAGCTCTAAGATGACCAGGATACATGACAGTGTACAATATGGAACTCTTAAAAAAATAGAAGAAACTGTTTCAAGGGTGATCATTATAATCCATTTATTTTTCAATCAAGAGTGATTCTAAACAATGTTCAACCTTTAAACAAACACAGCATGAAGTTTTTGCATCACAAAAACCCCTGAAATGAATACCTAAATAAAAAAGTTTACTGATGGGGATTTCAACATCTAAAAACCACAGCTCACTGGAAGGGTGAAATGAAGTCATAGCCCAACTTTTTGATTTGAGATAGACAAATATTTTGGACAGTAATACCAATGCTAGAAGTAATATACACTGGCTTGGTTCCATCCATCATTGGAGATGATTTATGGACATCCGTCAATCACAATTTAAGTTTTTTTTAGCTGCAACATGTTCCACTTAGGGACCATAAAACACCCCCCCAACAAAAACCTCACAGAGCGCCATATGATTTCAAATCTCTCAATATAGCAATAAAAAAAATCGTTATCATTTTATGATAAGGAAAGAATCAGACTTGTCTAAGCTGACACTAACCATATTAGAACAATCTCCTACATGTTGATTGCAAACAGCTGTCCAATTTCACACGACTGCATTAATTTAATTGGAAAAGCAAATGTTTGTACAATGCAACGGCATCTTTGGTCATGACTGGTTTCATACATGTATGTCCACAATTCACTACCTATACTCAACACGTGACATAGCCAATATACACGGACAACTCCAGCATTTTGTTTTTCTTGTGAACAAATACACTGTGAGATAAAAAGTGCACAAACTACCACACCTGGCCCAAGGTAGTTTTGGGCTCAAGTTTGGCCAAGTCTGTCCACCTGTTTCTCGCAAAAAGATTTGTTCATGCTAATTGCTGCATACTAACAATCTTTGTGGTATTAAGTATTATCCAATTATTCCATGGAATAAAAAAACCAACTTGCTTGCAAGCTTGCAAATGTCATGCTACCAACATATCCATTGATGAACTCTACTCGTCATTTTCTGGCAAAATATGTCACGATCAAAACCAAACACATTTTAACTAACTGTGAAAACATTAATGCACGGTGATACCTTCAACTGAACACATGAACATTTTTAAAGATGAAAAAGATAAAATGTGGAAAAATTGAAACTACGGATTAATGATGCACACCCTCACGTAGGCTAACATGCGTCAAATAAAACATCTCCTTAACATGTCCACCTCATACTTAAACCTTGAATTCTTCTTTCCGTTGCACTCATTTGTAACCAAGTTTTTACCACTCAACTGGCTCAAATGATCAAAGCACTCACCCATATAAACACTGCTGGCAGACCGAGTCACCAATGCCTAGCCTCAATATAGAAGAGATTTGTGTGTCTCTCTCTCTACTAAACCGCATTACAATAAGTTACTGCCCCCAAAGACCTCTAAGTCAGATCATTGAGATTAACCATCTGTATGGTCAACCAACAGACGTCTACTTTTAATAATCCTCGCAAAATAGACAGCTCTTCAGTGCGCTGTGGACTGCCTGGGAACTCATATCTCATTGACTGCTAGCAGCATCTCTTAAGTATTGTTCATTTTCAGTCAAGTGCCTTGGTGGAACTAACTTGGCAGAAGAAATGTGGGCTTAGTTGAAAATGTTTGGACTAGCATGGTTTATTTGCCCATTAGACAGTTCTCTTCAACATGTAATTCACTCCAAAAACCACATGAAGAGAAGGTTACCATGACAACTACAGTACTTTTTACTCTGCCAATCCCACCATGAACTCACCTGTGTTGTAATGAGCCAAAACACTCCCTGACACCAAATGCCAATTATGCAATAAATATTGACCACAGCTGGCCAGCTGCAATGCATTGACAACATTGAGGACACAAAGGTAAACAAGATCGCCTACACTACTTAGAGGCCACATTGTCATGACATGAAGAAACGATGCATATGAGCAGTGCTTCCTTTATCCAAGCGTGGATACTGGTACTTGCAACAATGTGATCCAGAAAACTTGGCTTCACAGCTTGGTACTGTAGGAGTGGACATGCTGGTCACAGAAGGCCACAGCACTTTATAACAATGGGCAGACACATCAGTAATCATATACATGTACACACCTGTGAAATGAACCCTAAAATGAGTACATCCAAAGGTGTCATGCTAAATCCTTGAAATCACACTTAGCAAATTGCAGACTGCTGGACACCAGACGTGCAGTAATCCTGGCCATGAATGTTGCACACTTCGTGGCTGGTTATGAGGCATACCACTAGTAGTAAAAATGTATACTTTTGTTTTTAAAACTACACTTACATGTATCTACGGCTAATGTGTATACCTTAAATTGTTTACATATCTTCACAAATGTTTGGATTAGGAAACTGAATTGTAATCAGTTTACACCATGAAAGTTTGATATAATGTTAAAAAAAGTCTAGAATCACTTGGCAAATGTACGGCTATTTTTTTTTTTATATATTTTTCTTTTCAATTTTTTTTCAAGTAGCTTTTTGACTTTCATTTTGACTCCAGCACTGTATGTAATTAGCAGCATACAGTATACCATAGCAGCACGCATGCAAAACATTCAACAAATAATTTATACCATTAGTTTGGTCTAAAAGAAATGTATACATTTAAATTTGACTTGGTTTTACTTCAGGAAATATGTTACTTTAGAAATACAATTTTGTGTGGCAGGTGACTTATTTGGCAACAAATACTCAACAAGCACAACACTAGCCTGGATGATTGTCAGTTGGTTGTGTTTTATACAAGTAAAACTGACACCATGCAATGAGCATGCAACTTTTATAACCCAGTGTAAGACCAATCAACTTCCAACCAGACTCTACACACAAAATACAAAATTTTCAAATAATTTCTCCAGTCATTAAGTACACTGGACTGTGCAAGAACGTAATTAGTGTTTCATTTGAGAGAAATAACAAGACCAGTTCTTCAACAATGTGGAATAAATAGAAAAGATTCTCCAGTGAACAGATATTTCTCAAGTCCAATATCTTGGGCAAATAAAGAAAGGAAAATTGTAACAAAGGATATCATTAACACGCTAAAGTTATTACACAGTGCATATGTATGCTCAGATCAGTGTGGGGATTTTTCCACATTTTCACTCAATGATTGAGGTTCAACAGTGAGGCAAAAACACCAAAGAAAGCCACATCCGCATTTGTCCAGCAGGAAGTCGCATGGCCTTTTTTCTCATCAGCTTGTTCAATCTGATGACTCCTACCAGTCTTTCAACGCAGCAAACAATGTTCCATAGGTCGTGTACAATTTCTTTGGCCTGTGTATGCTTTGGGTGCAGGTTAGACAATACATGAACGTATACGTGTAACTTGAAAAAAGTTTGGAACATCTTTGGAGCATCTTTGGGCTTGTGAAGGGACCTGTGATGGACTCAAACACGACACTGCTTATTATACAATAAAACCCAAACTCATCTCATGATCTTACGAGTAACAAACTTAGCCACTTGGCAGTGGAATGGACTTTAACTCAATCCTTTTCTTAAATCAAAGATTTGATGCAATCTAGACAATTAAAACATAACTCTCTGCCCTTGATGAATTGCATGACCAACCTTCCCTGAACAACTACTGTTCTAGAACTCTACCAGTGGACACAAGGTTCCAAAGGCTCACTTTACAAACCTATTGCTCAACGAACAGTCTGGAATTTGTTTTAAAAAAATTGCTCCTGACCAAACCCTGCTGGGTGGTTCCTGCAGAAACAGGATTGATTGAGATCTACTAACTACAGTCAAGATAAACAAATTGTTCAAAACTTCAAACCATAAAGCGCTGTGTCTGGCTGGATTTACACATTAACGATCACATGCATCAATACTTGAAATCATTGCAAATTCACTTTCAAAAACAACACTCAATCGTACATGAGGTAAATGGTCTGATATGCTGAACAGCAAATATTTTAAATACATCTCCAGGATTTTCTCTCTTTAAAAATCAACTGACAAACTTAAAAATCAACTGACAAACCATCCAATCACTAGCTTGCAGAATTGAGGTCAAAATAACCCTTAATAAATGCAGATCTAAAAAATGGGCCACAAAAACCAACCTGTAGAATCACAAGTCTGTTTGTTTTTCCTTATTTCAGATCAATCATGCTGCCAAAGTACATTCCTACAACCAACTTAGAAACACACATCTCATCCAATTGTACATATTCTTGTTTTTCCTTATTTCAGATAAAACAAACTGCCTAGTACGTTAACAAAACCAATTCATAAAAATTCTTCCTACCCAATCCTTTTGTACGTTTAGTTTCCCTTATTTCAGATAAACTGCCTACTCTATGCAGTTCTTCTTTTGTCTTAATCTGAACGGGTAAAAGCAAGATAAAAAAGAGGCTGATATCTAAGCGATCTCTCAGAAGTGCAGTGTGGGACAATCTACGAGAGGCATTGTTTTTCCTCTGAGTACATAACGAGCCTTTCACAGGAATATGAACGAATTTTGACTGAGAATACACAATCAGGAATTGCTAAAAAAAAAACTAAATTGCAAAAAAGTTTCAACACAGGGTATTTAACAAGTGCTGCATCATCAGCACTAGCGAAAAGTTTGTGAGGAAAATAAATCCACAAAGTTAGCTTTTAAGTGGTAAGGATGCTTCCATTAGCAAGTGGGATGTTGTGGGTTCGAGTCCCACCCAAGAAAGTCCACATTTTTCCACAAAAGCACTCACACAGCACTGACTATGAAGTGTTCATTAAAATTCCACTGCCTCGTAAGTTTTAACAGTCATCCTTATTGTGTGAACACGTTGTCTTTGGGCAGTCATAAAAATAGCGAGAAGGGATGGAGCATGTGTCATCCAACACTGAGCATGCCTGTCTACATAATGGCTCAATTCAAACTTTGCGAGAGAGTGTGCGCGGATAATTAAATATGTATTCTACAGTTTCACATGGCCTGTTCTACTTGAAATTGACTGGAGGGCTGATTGCCAGACTGCCAATGGAGCGGACCCGCACTTGGATGGGTTTGTGTTTCATTACTTACTTGAGAGGTTCACCTGAATGTCTTCTAGTAATCTGCGACCTAGGCTAATGAAGATTACAGGGGTGAGATTGGACGAAAATGAAATACCCATGGAATGACTACCAGTGGGTTTGATCATGGCTCCACAGCAGCGTAGGGTCTACGTTTACCAACAGACATCCCTTAACCCTAATGTTCTCCATCCCATCAATTTACTACAACAGAGATTGTTGAAATTTGATGGGTTGAGTTCTGTGTACACACGAAACTTACTACACAAAGTGTTAGATTATGACAGGAGGAGTACTGTACAGATGCAGTAGCAGTGATGGGTTTGGACTGAGTGGGTATAGTTGGTAATACCCAGTACCTGCTGCTGGGTGTGTGATGAATAATGCTGCTGGTATGGGTGCGCCTGTAAGCAAAGGGGGTCATTTAGTCATGTACTGTACCTGTACTTAAGGAATAGAATGACTCAAGTCTCTACAGTATTTGGTAACCTTGCTTTTTTTAAAGAGAATTCAAAGATAAAAACAAGGAAACCTGAGCCCTCCCCCCAACCAAATAAAATTGTGTATAGCCCTGCAGTTGTTGGATCTTGAAGGCATGAGTACACAGTGTTCCAGTTCCTTATACGTAGTGTATGACCAAGTATCTCCACTCAGCCCAAAACCCAACAGTTTACTGCCTGTTGGAGTACCCTGGTCTTTGCTCTATGGTTGGAGTTTGTTGGGCTGAGTACTGCTACAGCAAATGGACTGTTGGAATCCGCTGGGTTGAGTACATACCTGTATACCCCCGGCCCAGCAGTGAAAGGGTGTTGGAATTTGACAAGTTGAGTCAGCCTTCTAGAAAAAATGCTGAGGGGGTTAGGGTTAAAATATCCGTCTTGTGTTCAATATCAAAGGTTACATGTAAACACACCATGAAAGTAAACTCAGGATTTTCCAGAGTTTAAAACAGATTGCTTGAAAAATCCTGAAATCTGGAAAAATCCTGACAAATCTCACCCCTGGGATTAGCATAATGAAGGTGATGGGGTCTTCAATTATAACCAACACACTGATACCAAGGCTGACAGAGAATCCTTGGACAGTGTTCCAGCTGCTAATTGGACTACAGGAACTACATTACATGATTATCTATAATGAGGACTATTACATTTATGTATTTGTTGTATGCATGGGTCGCAAGGGGAATATGAGAAGAGAAGACAGATTAACCAGTCTGAATTTTAAATGCCACTATCAACATGCAATTTCCTTCCCATTATCTACATTGTAGCTCTGAGGCCGATCTTGATGCAGCGGGAAGGTCCTTGCCCCTGGAAATGAGGTTGGCTTCCTAGACTGGCATCTGTCCTTATAGTAGCTGAAAGGAGGAAGGGGGGGATAAGAACTCTTGCAGGCGAGCAGGGTTGATCAGCAAGGGGTCCTAGGAGGCAGCTTCCAGTGTTTGTTGGCAATCTTGTACCGCTGGGTCATTCTTCCTGTCTGTGGACAGAACACAAAGTGAAGACATCACGTGAGAATATGACTGTGTTGGCCTTGTGTCCTTAGGAAACTGATCACACTGTGCGATCACTGTATGACTGACCACGCAGTTTACTATGATCAATTAGACTGCAGACTTTCATTGTAGACTGATCCAAGGAGACACTGTCATTGCGGTGACATTACACCACACTTACCGGCAAACTTTGGCAAGTCACGTCACCCTACTGATCCAGGAAGTATCTACCGGTACATGTAACATGTACATGTACACCACTGGCACATAACTGAACCAGAAAGCCTCTAAAACACCACTTGAAAAAAATGCCTGTGTTTAGCGCATCAAAACCTGCAGAATATTTCAAGTTTTTTCACGGAACTCTTGATGAGGAGTTCAGGCAACTCAAACCCTATCCACTTGTTGGGAAAAAATTTGATGAAAATAGTGTGGTCTGCGTGGGCCTGCAGAATATTTCAAGTTTTTTCACGGAACTCTTGATGAGGAGTTCAGGCAACTCAAACCCTATCCACTTGTCGGGAAAAAATTTGATGAAAATAGTGTGGTCTGCGTGGGCTAGAAATAAATTGTACTGCATCGTGTCTTCAGGGACTCTGGTGACCACGTTTTTGTACACAAAAACGATCCATGCGCAGTAGCCCATTTCAGTCTACAACATGTTTTGCGTCAGGTTTTTCCTGTTGCTTCAGGATTTTCTGAATAATTTATCTTGGTTATGCACGGAGTGGCAGGAAAAGCTTTACACAGACGAACATGAACAAATCGATTTCATCAGCGTCCATCACAAATGTTACTGTGTTGGGCAGGGTGTAACTGAAAAAACATGAAAATACAGAAACTTATGGTACTCTTTCTATAGTAGGAATCACATGTACATGTATTTTACGTTCTGCATGAGGTTTATGCTGCGTATTTTGACTAAATTTCCAAGTCGGAAGCGCATTTACTCCAATACGCACGTTATGTAAACCTGTCCCTAGACTCAATGCCTTGAAAAAATGCACGGCAATGATACTGGAGACTATGAGTGTTTCAGGGTCAATTTCCACTCTATTATGGTCAAGTCCAAGAACTCTGCCACTGGCTGGCTGTACTGTTAAGGATTCTTGGAGGTTCAGAAAACTTCAAACAATTCAAGGGGCAGGTCTCCTCCACTCAGTAACTAGGTAAACATCTACAAGTCACTGGGTTTGTTGACAGACGTACTATTTACCATGCCTCTATCCCAACCCTCTAGGGGTCCGTGATGAAATGTGCTGAAACTGAAGGATTTTGAACTGTCGGTGTTAAGGTAGTTCATAAGGTATTTGAAATGCACGCCACGTTCACTTGTACACTGTCCTGAACTTCAAAACACACAGTGCCTGCACATGGGTGAGTCAGTTAATCCTAGCGCAAGGTTAGATCTCAATCGCCAGGATGTTGACATGGCAACAAGCACTACATAGATACATCACCATGTTCAGGCGGGCTAAGGCTTGCCAAGGAGACGGAAAGACTCGGCAGCTTACTGCCAGCTCAAAATGCCTGCTTCCTCGACAATGCATGTATAACTCCAAACCTTACCAGATACTTCAAGATCCACAAGGGCATTTTCAAGGATCTTGCAGGAGTGAGAAAAGTGCAGGCTGTCTTTGATTAAAGTCTGATGCTCCTTTAGGATTTAAACTTGATGTTCAAAGTTTAAACTTTAGGCATGTATGATATCCTTATTTAAGTTTTTAAGGTGATGGTTATTTTTGAGGAGAACTCTCAAATTACGTAGTACCTTTTGGGGGTTCAGTTGAATGAACATCCCTTAGGTTTTGTTTCCAACGCCTTCTCTACAACACACACAATTTTTTATATGTTTGATTTCAGTGACTGACTGAAAGCGTGTGTAGAAATACTCTTTGAGTTGCTGGACTTAGGAAATGCTTACTTGAAAAAAAAAGGTAAAAAAGAATTCCAAATGAAGAAAAAGGCTATAGATTTGAGAAAGGACTGATTGTATAGTCCATACCTGCTTCTTCTGCTGCTGCGTCATTTGTCCACAGCGTTAGGTTGTCTCGTAGCAACTGCATAATCAAGGTGGAATCTTTATAGCTGTCCTCATTAAGCGTGTCCAGCTCGGCGATGGCATTATCAAAAGCCATCCGGGCCAATCTGCAGGCCCTCCCCGGCGAGTTCAGGATCTCGTAGTAGAACACCGAGAAGTTGAGCGCCAGCCCCAGCCGGATGGGGTTGGTCGGTTCCAGATTGTTGGCGATCTCACTGGCTGCTTTGTACGCCACTAGGCTGTTCTCTGCCGCCTCCTTCCTTGTGTTGCCAACAGCATATTCGGCTAGGTATCTGTGGTAATCGCCCTTCCTGAGGGGTTTGTTTTTTTTGTCAAATTGGCAGGGGAAAAAAAATGACATCATTGTAACCAACAGTTTGAATCAAGGCCATGACAGGTTACAACATTTAAGACAAACTGAGTCTTTAGGCTTTTCTGTTTTAGTTTGTATAACAAAAAGCTATCTAAGGAGGAGTTTGGAAGACCAAAGATGAATAGTGATTGAAGCATGGAGGATTTCAGAGGATAGAGGATCAAAAGCATTTTAAAAGCTGGAGGATTTTGGAAGATTGAGGGTGAACGCTGAATGAAGTACTAAAAATCAGTCACATAGTGGTGCATATGGTCACACATTATACTGTTTACAATATACATGTATCCAAGGACAGTGTATTTCATTGCTCACTGCTGTTGGTCATAAATTACACAATCCCTCAACTGCATGTGTTAAAACAAAGGCACCCGGCAGCTTTGTTTATAACAGAATTAAAGCCCTTGGCCAATCATGAAAGAAGCCAGCTTCAGCCCAGCAACCAACCTGATGTGCCCATCCCCCTAAAAAAAAACCCAAAGTAGGGCCATTGAGGATTTTGGAGGATTGAGGACGTGCCCCAGTGAATAGGCCCTAGTGGGATAGGGTTAAAGGCTTTTAACTCAAAGTGGCTTTGGTGACTTGAGGTTCATTTTCCTGGGCTGGGTCACATTTTAAAAATTGAAGTTGATCTTAAGTGTGTCTATGAGCCCCAAGCTAAACCAAAAGAGGCCGTAATTTTCTCAATAACAGAGGCTCCTAACCGCTCCTTTGGTCACTGCACTTCACTGCTTCAGAAACGACTAGGGAATGCACTTTAATTTTACCAAAAAAAAAAAAAAGGTCAAACAAACCTCTGTTGTGGCAATCAAAGGTTAATGTGTCCTTCAAACAAAACTGCAAGTGTTTTTCAAAGGAACTAATCTTCCCTGTATAACACCAAATTCTTACATTTTGTAATAGAAAACCTGTGGCTCGTCACCAGAATTGCTGGCTGATGGAATGAGATATTTGTCGATCACAAGCAGGACATCTGTGCATACATCTGAAAGCTCTTTCTCAATCTGGATGGACAAACAAAACAGAACTGCCAGCGTTGGGAACAGCACAAGAGAGGGAAACTGACTGACCTTAACTATGCCGAATCCAAAAAACATTCTTTGTAATTAATGCTTAACGTCAAAAGGTTTGGGCAACTGATTGGTTTCTGCCACTTTTTTTGAGCTCAACTTTAAAAACTTCCGGAACCATTTTGCCCATGTTCGGGCCAACTGTGCAAAGAAGTGGTATACATCAGTTATGTTTGATCACAGTGCGTATAGATCCCTTTGTTTGAGCAAGATGGGAGTAAGTCCTTTGTACATGTACACGCTAGCATTAGCTGCAAACATTAAAATTGTGCAGCAGGTTAGAGGGCGCTTTTGTTACCTAGTAGTAGCAACACAGTCTTTAAAGCCGATGCCACATATGTGCATACTTGTTTTTCTACAAGTTCTTCATCTGACAATTAACTACCCCTCAAAAATCTTTGCATTAGCGCTGGACAATAACATTGAAATGTTGGCCAAATCTTTCTGTTGTCACATTTCAGAGCCATGTGTAGTGAGCCACAACACTTTATTAGAGGCCATTTTGGTTCCAAAGTCTGCGTGCATGTTTATTCAAGAAAAGATCAATCATCCTTGTTTTATCTGTCATGCGTCATGTCACCTCAAAGTACTGTTATTTACTGCCATTTTCCGACAGATTTATAGTTCACATGCACAACAGTCACCATTTGGGAAACCAAATGGCATCACAGACATCAACATGTCCTCATATTACAACTCTGTCTATGGGCCTCGGGCCGGACCAAGAAAGGGTGCTATTTTTTTAACAACGGAGGCTCCTTTGCTTGGAACTGAACTTTGCTGGTAACGACAAGGAAATGCATGCATCACGGTCGCATTGCTAACAACAAATTGAACACTCCCGACCAGCTTGGCTCTTTTTCAACTGATAAGGGGGTGCTTCTTCAGATATACAGATATACACATACATGTACTTGGCTGTGATTACGTCCAAGCGTGTGCAGGCAGTCTGACCACAGAACCAACAAGAAAACATCTGCATAGCCCACGATATCCTTGACACCAGACCTTGTGGTGTGAAACCTTAGGAAAACTTTCCCAGGCACAAGACTGAAAAAGCTTGAACCGAGCATTCATGGGGGAAAGACAATGTGGGTTGGCAAGTAATGTCTGGTCTGATACCTCTTCTCTGTACTCCTTCATCAGAGTAAGTTTGGTTGAGTTGGGGTCTTTCTTCTCCTCCGACAGCTCCAGGCTACTTGCTATCCTCCAAGATGCTCTCCTGGCGCCAATCTTGTTTTTGTAGGCCACCGACAGCAGGTTCCTCTCCTCAACGCTCAGTTCTTCACTCAGCTCTGCCACCTTCTTCATGTAATCCACCATTTCTGGAACAGTACAAAGGGAAGAAATGTCAAGCACCAGTTGACTTCCACGTCTACCATGAGGAAAACAAATAGTCTCTAAACCTTACATGTAAATATAATAACATCTGACAGGAAATTGGTTCTAATTTATAAGCAAGTACCAGTACAAGTGAAAACTAATTTGACACAAAAAGTGTTTTTTTTTAGGCCTAAATGTATTCACATGCAGAAAGGCAAGTTCGAAATATGTGCAAACAAAACCGTAAGATTCACACTGGATGTACATGTTACACATTCCCTTTATAAATATGACACTCGAGAGTCTTTAAAAATGAGGGTACGTGTACAGAAATATGGAGGATAAAGCACCAAAGCTGAAACTAGGTTATTGAAAAATATATAAATCAATTTAACAAAAAAATCTGAATAGACTCAGTTCTAATGTAGACAGCCCTTGTCTTCACCAAATATGTATTATTTATATTGTCATGAAAAGTACTGGTACAAGAACTGTGCTGCTTAGCGCACTACCTGTCTACATTATGCCACCAGTATATGGAATGTCTGTAGTAGTGTTCCGACACATGAATCACTGCCTTGTGAATTACAGGTATGTGGGGAGCCCCTGCCGTAATTAGCCCTGATGGCTTCCATGTCAAAGTCTGTGTGGAAGGCAGCGCACTAGGCAGGGAAACCCGACATGACATCATGCATGCATAGTCTAAATCTCTTTCCATGTAAGTGTACTGTGCATGTACATATAACAGCCATGAATCACTAAAACGCTGTACATGTACATTCAACTAGACTCATTCAGAAACACGGTACATACTCGATGTCTGTGTACATGTACATGTGTGTGCATATGCACACACATCTGTGCTGGCAAGAAACATTAACCCTTATCCCTTCAGCGTGTGAAAAATTATAATGAAATCGGAGGATTCCTGACGGTCAGGGTTAACAGTTCACTTCACCTATTAATCATGTACGTGCATGGTTAAATATGGTACAATAATGTACTTTTCAACTGAACCCTGTAATCGCCACATACTTGAAAACAAAAGGCAAACCGGCGAGGTGCATAAAGCCTTCAACAGTTGAGTAACAGGAATTCAGTTGAATTTTTCAAGATCAACGTAAGAGTAATTAGAGGAAAATACAGTTCAATGAATGTGCAGGATATCAACAGGAGAATGTTGATTTATATGCCGACCAGGCCTCAACCTCAACACTAGACTGGTGTATAAACCTAGTAAAAACTGCCACTGGCTAGTCAAATGCATTCTTAAACTTGCCTTGCAAGCTAGTGAAGTAACACTTGCGTACATGTTTGAAACTGTCATTTAATGTGTCATGAATGAAACAAAGGCTGTAAATGTTATGAATTTTAATTGAAGTTGTTTATCCTCAACTGTAGCAGTTTGAATCCTCTTCCACTTTTAAGGTTTAAAATTGACAGCATGACTCCACAGTAACAGCTAAATAGTTGAAAAAAGCTAGTTAAAAAATAAGTTTTGCCGAACAGTGTCCAGTGTGCTTGTGAACAATCATGTGGGCTCGTGGGGGAAAAAAAAAGCTTAATATTGAGGCCTGATGCTTACAATTCCGAGCCAATTATGACAGACTTTAGGGCCGTGTATCTCGGACCAAGGTACATGCGCCACATGTTTGTACATGTACTTCAGAAACCAGCAAATGGTGTTTCAACTTATAGGTAGAAAACAGCTCCCAATTATGGAACCAATCACCCAGCCATAACCAACTTTGCAGTGTTTTACTCCCCCCCCAAAAAAAAGCATTCAAAAGTTACTGTCGGGAAATTTTAAAATAATGTAATAATGAAATGCTAATACATGTGCATGTACCTACATGTATATATATATTTCGCATTTACTCATAAACAGTCCTTCATATTTAAGGAGTGCCATTGCGCAGGTGCTCCTGCAGTGCTCCTCAACACTCCTAAAGGAAAGTAAAAAATCACACTCCTAAAAAAAGCCAAGGTCACTTTACAAATGACAAAAGATATGACAAAAACAGTGGATAACATCAGCAAGAAAGGACTGTGATTGGTGTGTAACTTGCGGTTTCATGTTTATCCCACCACGACTTTCATACATCGGCCCATGATTTTTGTACTAATACGATCATTGCGTCGCGAGTGCGGCCTGCTTTCGGACCGGCCAGCCAGCCCTGCACGCACGTATAGCATGCACACTGTACATATGCTTGCATGTGCGAGTATGTTGAGCACAGTTTTGCTGTACATGGTTCAATTTGTTATGAATTTTAATTGGTCGGGAAAAAATTTTCAAAAATTTTCAAAAAAAGAGCCAATCAATATTGATCTTCTTTATGGGGCGCTTAAGCAGAAAGTGGTGGGCCATAAGCTTTGGTCGTCATGAAAGAACATTGCTCCGTGCACACACACAGCGCGTGAGCCCACTGAATTCATGCAGGAAACCCCCGACATGTCGCACCATAATCCTACATTAACACCGTCACATTCGCACATTGTGTGCATGCGCGTTGGTTTGACGTTTTCCCTCTTCAATTGAGGTGGATTTCATTTGTTACAGTCTGCATCAATTGAACAAAGCTGAAGTGCACTTTAAACTTTCAAATCCCCTTCAGTTTTTTTTGGAAAGAAATACTCAAATCAGGATGAAAAAGGTGTACTTACATGTACTTCTTTAAATTAAACTACAACTGTTGAATTGTGTTGAACTGTAGGTGGATAACGCCAGTCAGACCTAAATTTTTAATTTGTACCGGTAAGTACAAAAATTCTGGTTTAAATAAAAGAAAACAAGCACTGAGATGATCTACGTCAAATATGTGTCATAAACCCGTTTCTAACTGAACTTAAAACTACATTATTTTTAAAAATTGCCCCAAGAACATTATAAATCATCAGAGAAAGTGGAAACAATAGACTCCAGGGTACAAACCATCGTTTGACCTCATTTTGCACGTCTGTTAATTGGTTTATTTTAAGGAGAGCGATTTGCTCCCCTGAGAGATTTGAGGAGAGCGATTTATGGCTCTCCTGGATTTTCATAAAATGAAGGACTGCATACATGTGTATGTGATGCGTAGGGTACATGTACGTGTATACATGTGTATTTTAGGTACACCTTAGACTCGTGTAAGTCCATGTAGCTATGTGAATGCACTTTCCACGTTACTTTCCTTTGGATTTTGGGATTCTATTTATGTTACAGGTTCTCTCTTTTTTACTTCAACAGGTTACTACTGTAGGTTAATGTACACAAAATGTAACTGTGTGCAGCTTCCAATGTCTAGCATCTCAGTAAGAAATGTGGTTACAAGGTTGTTGACTGCATTAAGAAAAATGACAGAAAATAACTGACTCCAATCTAAAAATGTTCTGAACGGAAGCTTCCTCTTTTGGGGCTTGCTACATGTACCCTCCCAGCTACTCCAATTACCTGGATGCAACCTGCTTTCTGGAATAAGTGAAGACAGAGATACATGTAATCCGTGCCTGTTGGTTGGTCAAAATTGGGACATCAACAGGTGTTTTCCTGGTTTTATCATGCACATGTAATTGCTGGATCTACGTACACTTCACACTGCTTGAAAGTTGAATCAAGTGTGAACATCTTCAGACTGTTGCCCCTATGCAAAAGCAACCTATTTCATGTAAAGGTACAACACGTGCACACGTACATGTACCTACATACCTGTACATGTACATGTGAGTCATGCAGGTGCACCTAAGCTGACAAAAAAGCGGCACTCTACCCTGCATGAACTTAAATCACAGTGTCAGGGTACATCAGTGCAAATTGTAGCCAATTCTGCCAATATCCAAGTTCACGAGCACAATCAAGGGAATGTAAATGTATGCCGATAGATTGAAGTATTTGAGGGTTTCATGTTTGTTTGACCGCTCCACTCATAAATGACCCCTGTGCAAACTTTGAGTGGTGAAGCTCTTTAGTGGCAAATAAGAACTGTTGGACCTTGGCACCCGTGGGGCGTCTGTCTTGCTTTGCTTTGGGTGTGCATTTGATTACAATGGAATTGGGTATCCTCACTATACAGCCCTACTCCACCGGATTCAGCATAAAATCAGGTGCAATCTGGCTAAATTCTGAAAGGTTGAAGTGCTAAATTCTGAAAGGTTGAAGTAAAATGCATTTTCTAAAGGCTTTAATATTTTACAATCAAATTCAAAGACAAATGATTACCATTATGACAAGGAACTACATATGCATGTACATGTATGAGGAAGGAGGCCATGGTTAAGTTGTGACAAGCACGTCAGGTCTACAACAATCACGTATCCATAATAAAATGAAGTCCATGTACCGGTAACGTAAAACCCAATAATGTGCAGTTTTATTGGGATAAATTAATGAGGAGTATATTACAACAATCCGATGCACAGGTGCAGTACTTACAACATACATATACACATGATATGTAAAGATCCTTCACAGCAAGATGCACAGGTGCAGTACTTACAACATACATGTACACTTGATATGTAACGATCCTTCACAGGAAGGCGGTTTCCAGGCATTCATTTATTGTTAATAACCATACTATTGTAAATGTATGTGAACAATATGATAATGTCCCGTCTACATTCTTACACATCACGCCATTGTACGTACAGGTACATAATGTAAAGAACACACACATGTACATGTTCACTGTAGGAATCAGAAGTCCAACAAGAACCCCTTAGAAAAGGTGTAATTTTTCAATATTGAGATCGTTCACATCTACATGTACACCGGTACGTTGTATTGCAAAAATGACAAATTATGGAATACATTTGGAAGCAACAAACGCTGTGAATGGAAATTGGCACACATCAAGGTGAATGTATGACACAGTAATCTTAGATCAATGATGAATTTGGATTTTTTTCCAAGGTGAATGCACATTTCAAAGATGAAATCATTCCACTCAGATGAGGACAACACTCCTTTCTTAAAAGTTTCTGGTACATGTGTATATGATAAGTACAGTACACGTACGCC